GTGGGAGCCAGCGGCAGCGGAGGGAAACCTGAACTCTAGTGGACAGGTTGCTGGGGCTCAGCTTGGGCCAGTCTGAGTTCCAGGGGATCCGAGTGCTTTTGCCAAGTTTTGGCTCCAGCAGCTCTCACCTGGATTCTCACAGGGAAAATGCCCTCATGCTGCCAGCAGGGGGAGGCGGAAGGGACCGCATGAAATAGGCCAGACGGAGCGTTCTGCTCTTCACCAGGCCTGCGTTCAGGAGAAGCTGTCTTCCCAGAGCCTCTGTCGGGGTTCTAGCAGAGCTTCGTCCATCTGGGGAAGGGGAACAGCCAACTCCAGCCCATTCTAGCCATCTCGTCCCACCTACGGGAGAGACAACGGAGAAGCACTCGTGGAGGTCACGGCCCAGGGACACAGACTCGCTAGAAGACGAAGACCTGATCATAGGCCTGTGGAGCACTCCCCCTGCCCCCACACCTCACCACCACCCCAGTAACGGCCTGCTTACCAGGGTTCCTTTCCCCCCATATACCATGTCTGGCTTTCACCAACAATAACAAAAGCTTACAAGGCATACCAAAGGCAAAAATTATGGTCTGAAGAGACAGAACCAGACTCATGTATGGCAGGAAATGTTGGAATTCTCAGGCCAGGAATTTAAAACAACTGTGATTAATATGCTAAGGGTGCTAATGAATACAGTAGACAACATGTAAGAACAGATGGGTAACATAAGCAAAGATATGGAAAGTCTAAGAAGGAATGTTTTAAATGCTACAGGTCTAATGCACAGTAACAGGCATGCTCTTGATGGCTTGATTGGTAGACTGGACATGGCTGAGGAATAATGTCTGAGATTGAGACTACGTCAATAGAAACTTGCAACATTAAAAATCAAAGAGAAAAAAAGACGGGAGGTGGGGAGAAGAACAGAATACCCGAGAACTGTGCGACAACTTTAAAAGGGCTACATTTGCATAATGTATGGAATACCAAATGAAGAAAAAGAGAAAAGAAGAAATATCTGAAGCAGTCATGACTGAGAACTTCCCCCAAATCAATGTCAGATGCCAAATCAAACCACTGATCTAGGAAGCTCAGAGAACACCAAGGAAGGTAAATGCCCCAAAACCCACACCTAAGCATATCATGTCCAAACTGCATAAAAATCAAAGATGCAAAAATTCTTGCAAGAAGCCAGAGGACAAAACACCCTGTCTATAGAGGATTAAAGGTAGGAATGAATTTGACTTCTCAGAAACCATGCAAGCAAGAAGACAGTGGAGTGAAATATTTGAAGTGTGGAGAGAAAAACCTACCTCGAGTTCTGTACCTTGTGAAATGATCCTTCAAAAGTGAAGACGAAAAGAAGACTTTCTCAGACAAACAAAAATTGAGGATATTTGTTGCAAGTAGATCTGACTTGCAAGAAATGTTAAAAGAAGTTCTTCAGAGCGAAGTCAAATCTACATTTTAAAAAAGGGAGAGCATTGGAGAAGGAATAAGTAAAGGCAAAATTAAAACCTGTCTTCTTCTAATTGATCTAGCAGATAACAGTTTGTTCAAAAATAATAGCAACAATGTATTTGATTATGTATAAATATGTAATACATCCACCTATAGTACATATACACACACATATGTTTATGTATAAGTGAAATGAATGGCAGTAAAAATACAACGACCAAGAGGGAGAAATTGGGAATATTTTGTTATTATCGGATACTTCCACTACTTCTTCAGTGTTCAGTGTTATTTGAAAGTGGACTTGGATGAGTTGTAAATGTGTATTGCAAATTCCAGAGCAACCACTATAAAAAGTTAAAAAGAGTATCATTGATATGCTAAGAAAGGAGAAAACAATGGAATCACATAAAACACTCAATTAAAATCACAACAGCCAGCCCTGGCCAGTGTGACTCAGTCAGTAGGAGCGTTGTCCCATACACCGAAAGGTCCCAGGTCATCAGCTGCCTCCTGCGCTCCCTACAGGGGATCAAACCCAAAACTAGGGCTTATGTCCTGACCGGGAATTGAGCCATCAACCATTCCATGCACTAGAGAGGAGGCCCAACGAACTGAGCCATACTGGCCAGGGCCGAGCTCTTTATATATTCCTGACACAAAGCCTTGTTGAACATATGATTTGCCAATGTTTCTCCCAGCCTACAGCTTATCTCTTCATTCTTCTTGTTTCCTTTACCGCTAAAGTTTATAACTTTGATGAAGTACAAGGTATCCATATTTTTCTTTTATGGATCACACTTTTTTGGTCAAATCTTAGAGCTCTTTGCCTAACCCAGATCATTAAGATTTTCTTCTCTATTTTTCTCTAAAAGTTTTGTCGTTTTATGGTTTTATAAAATATATATTTTTATTGATTTCAGAGAGGGAGAGAGAGATGGAAACATCAATGATGAGAGAGAATCATTGACCAGCTGCCTCCTGCGTGACTCCAACTAGGGGTTGAGCCCACAACCTGGTCATGTGCCCTGACCGGGAATCAAACTGTGACCTGTGACCTCCTGGTTCATAGGTCGATGCTCAACCACTGAACCATGCGGGTTAGGCTGTAGTTTTTTATCCATGGTCTATTCTGAGTTAACTTTTGTATAAGGTGTGAGGTTTGGTTTTTGTGCATATGGATATGCAACTGTTCCAACACAATTTGTTGGGGGGGGGGAATACTATCCCTTTCGGCAGTGAATTGCCTTTGATAAATATCAATTGGCCATATTTGTGTGTGTCTATTTTTGTTTCACGGATCTATGTGTCTCTCCTGTTGCCAATACCACACCGTTTTGATTACTGTAGCTTTTTAGTAAGTCTTATAATCAGGTAGTGTGATTCCTCCAACTTTGTGCTTTTTCTTTTTGTGTGTGTCTCTTTTTCAAAAATTGTTTTAGCTATTCTAATTCCTTTGCCTTTCCGTATAAATTTTAGAATCAGTTTGTGTATTATCTACTAAAAATCTGTTAAAGTTTTTATTTGAATTGAGTTCCGTTTATCAGTTTGGAGAGAGTCAAGTCTATCCTCTATTGAGTCATGTAATCCATGAACATGGTATGTCTCCTTTTATTTAGGAGCATTCTCTCATCAGTGTTCTGTGGTTTTGATTTCTTTCATCAATGTTTTGTGCTTTTCAACATAGAATTTCTATATATGTTTTAGGAGATTTATACCTAAACCTTCATTTTTAAGCTATTGTAAATGATATCTTTTTAAAAAAATTCTGGTTTCCGTTTTTTATTGCTAGGATATAGAAATATGATATATGTTTATGTGTCGGCCTTACATTCTGCCATCTTGCCAAACTCACTTATTGATTATAGGTGATTTTGTGTGTGTGTGTGTGTGTGTGTGTGTGTGTAAATGAATTGTTTGGGCTTCTCTGTGAATAGGGACAGTTTTTTTTCCTCCTTTTTAATTCATATGCTGTTTTGTTTTGTTGTTTTGTTTTCAAAATCATCAATAGCCCTGCCAGTGTGGCTCAGTGGGTTGAGTGTTGTCTCATGCACCAAGAAGACACCTTTTGATTCATTTATGTTTTGCTCCTGAATCTAAAATACAGAGGGTAGTACTGATGACTGCAGGGACAACCAACTTTTGTAATATCACTATCTTATCACCAATTATTAAAACTAGTCTTCCCTGTTGACACACTTTCAGTGATTGCTGCAGTCAATATTTAC